TATCAATGGGGCCGCCTGCTGGTATTTAAGTGAAATCCTTCTACTGTTATTAATGTTTAAAGGATAATAATCATGATATTTTAATTAAAACACATCTACCCCTATCAAAAAGGATTTACAACAGCCGTGTTATCTTTTTATCTGCCGTATTATATTTCATTACAATGCATTTATATTATTCCGGGGAAGTAACCGCTGCGAAAAAATGTAGTATATCAGCAACGGTTACTTCCCCTGATAAGAACTAATAAAACAAGGTGCGAGGAGGTTGGTTAAGCAGACGTAAAATATTTACTGGTATGATATTTGAATTTAGAAAACAAGCCATAAATCAAAATTGTCCAATATGTCAAATATTGAATTTTAAGAGACACGGTCATAAATTACTAGTAACTTTAACGATAAAATATCATGTTATCTATCAAAGAATTAGAAATAATGTACTAGAAATTTACAATTTAAATGTTCTAGCATTTACTTGCAAATGTCACATAGGTAGCCTTTTGAATAACCAGATACCCGTAGCATGGAATTTGAGTACCAATTATATACTTAAAATGATATACAAAAATAATACCACAAAATGGTGGACTTATGTGCATATAATAAACATCAAAAAGTTTGAATATTTTTACATAAAAATAGTAAACACAAAAACTTTAAAATAAAAAGTTTCCGACCACATAGATCCCACTGTTGGAAATAATTGTCTTAAACTTTCGTAAAACAGTTCCCTCTCCAGCATACAAATTGTATTGCCTTTCTTGACGAAGTACTAATAGTTTGCATGGGCCCAGGCTTAATATTGTTATGCTTGCGTATTTATTTTCATGACGCTTGTGAGAGATTTCGTTTTTTACTTCAACTGAAATTTAACTAACCGTTAAAAAATAACCCTTATTTGATTTTTTTAACGATTGATTATTTCACAACGGCTTTTTAAATCAAAATTTAATGTTGAGTTGATGGCAGGGTCCGTTCTCAACGTTGAAAAATTACTAAGGTTCAGTTCAATGACCCATGGGGTCTATTTGTAACGGGGTCAAAATAATGTTAGATGGTCTCTACTGCGTATTTTATCCTATAAACTATTATGAAATATTAAAAGAAAAAACAACTATTATTTAAAATGGTACGAATCACTGACCAGAGTAAGTTTTTATTTCTCCCCCATCAATTATGATTAATTTCAACTTAATTTTAAATGATACATCACCATGCATGGAGACAACATTTGTTTGTTATTGAAACCGAAAGTAGAGTGAAATTTCCTACCTGTGTTCAAGCGGTCATACAAGTTGCGCAGCCAACCTTATCATGACCAGGGCAGTAGACATCTATCAATTTTCCTCCATGTTTTTCACATCTTTGACTTGGTAATTCTTGCTTATCACCGCTCGGTTGTTTTACCGTGTCATGTAACTGATGAACTCTCATTGCTGAAAATTTATTGTGATCACCCACACATTTTTGACAAAGGTTTTCATCACATTCCACACAATGTTTGATAGCGGCTACATTCTTCCCTTCTTTGGTGCACGGTAAACACGGAAAATCATGTTCTATGTCCGAACCATGATACAAAGTTTGGTTAAATTTACGCCCGTCTACGGCCATTTTTAAATTAAGTTTAATCACTTCCTTGTTTGAGTTGCTATGTAAATAAACGCATGATCGATATTCATATACATTTACCGTACGGTATAATAAGTTTATGTTATTCAGGGTAGTACAGTTTTGTTTCTTATGATTTACTCACCTGTAAAGAGAAGTATGCACTTGGTTACATTCATACAATAGCAAAATATTACAAGTTTTGGTATCAAAAATATGCAAAGTGTATTTACCATACAATGGATTTAATTTGTATTGAAATTTGATTACTATCAGAAGTTTGGTTACGTGTGAATAGAGAAAAAGCGAGATGTTAAAAGTTTCAAAAATGTAATTTTAATGTTTAAATTGCTCGTTACGTGATCATTTATCAGTATATCTTTTCCGTTCGTAAGCGAAATTGTTTGAGACAGCATGGGCCTGACTTTACGCCATATAGACTTGGGTTTAAATGGTGTTTCATTAGATAATTTAAGTATCCACAGGCAAAAACTCATTAATTAATTTTACAAAAAGGCGCAATTCTTCACCTTTCAATTTTCATCACTTAGCTGTTTACACAATATAATAAAATTATAAATAAAATTTTTAATAAATGTATGTAAACAATCGTGTAGCCAATATAAATCTGCAAATGTTGAAACCAACTATCCCAATATTTTTTTATAAAATATAAATTTTAAGTAAGTATACAAAAGTTCCATGTGACCAAGTGTACACTTTTTTGCAATTCAGTAAATTAGCAACGTTGTATATAAATGAATGCATTCTATAATAATCGTGTTCATTTTAATTATTTAAGCAACTTTAAAAAATCAAATATTTTAAGGGGTCACCGTCAACATAGACTCTAGGACGACTGTCGAACTCTTCATTCGTTGCATCAACACAAACATATGGCGAGTGTCCAGCTTTACTGGTGAAGAAAAACCTCAGATGCCCCTTCTTTGATTTTTCCAGGCACAAACAGACACCTGAGTTGAATCACCAACGTTCCGTTAGCTAGCTGAATAGCATTCAAATATGAAAGACTCCACTGTCTGGGAGCAATTTACATTCGAAGTGCTTATAGGTTCAAATCCTAAGTTGGATATAAATAAATAATTACACTTTTTTACATTTCCTATTATTCTGTTGTAGAGGTAAAACTTTTCTTCTAAGTGTATAGTGACAAATTCACGAGTCATGGTTTTTACAATTTGAAAAAGGGGTTTTTGTGCCCACACGCGCGGGCATTTAGATAAACCCTTGCCCGTCCGTCCGTTCTCTTTTGTGTCGCATGTAGCTCAAAAAGTATTTGACCTAGAGTCATAAAACTTTACAGGAATGTAGATCAGCATGTGTTGTTGTGCACCTTGGTATTTTCGTGTATATATATTTAGTATTTATAGAGTTTTTGCCCTTCACTTAGTAAAAATTTACAATTTTCAACTTGTCTCGCACGTAACTCAAAAAGTATTTGACCTAAAGTTATGTAACTTTTACAAGAATGTTAATCAGCATGTGTAATTGTGCACCTGGGTATTTTTGTGTTGCTATATATTTATTATTTTTAGAGTTCTTGCCCTTGGCTTCGTAAAAATTTACAATTTTCAACTTGTGTTGAACGTATCTTTGACCTTAGTGTCATGAAACTTTACACGATTGTTGATCAGCATGTGTAGTTGTGCACCTGGGGATTTGCTTGTGGAGTTTTTCTGTTTTGATAGAGTTATTGCCCTTGACTGAGTAAATTTACGATTTTCAACTTATGTCACACGTAACTCAAAAAGTATTTGACCTATAGTCATGAAACCTTACAGGACTGTTGCTCAGCATGTGAAATTGTGGGGTCTCGCTTGTGGATTTATTCTGGGTTTTTTTGGCCCCTGACTTAGTGAAAATTTTCAAATTTCAATTTGTGTCATGCTTAGCTCGGAAAATATTTAACCTAGAGTCATGAAACTTAAAATGAATGTGGGTCAGCATGTTGTGCATATGGGGTTTTGTTTGTGGATTTATTCAGTATTTCTAGAGTTATTGCCCTTGACTTGGTTAAAACCGTTTCATTATGTTGTGTTATTTGTTCCTTGAAAGCTTGGCTTAGAATAAACTTACTTTACAGGAATAATGAGCGTCATCACTATGGTGTTATGCACCTCGGGTTTTTGCAAGTGGATTTTTTTTCAGTTTTGTTAGAGTTATTGCCCTTGACTTAGTATGAATTTGCAGTCTTCAACTTGTTCATGCATAGCTCAAAAAGTATTTTACCTGTACATCAGAAAATTTACAAGAATGTTGATGGTCCATTTACTTATGCACCTTGAATTTTTTCAGTATTTTTAAAGTTCTTGCCCTTGATTTAGTAAAAGATTTTTTGTTATCAGCTTGTGGCACATGTAGTCCAAAAAATATTTGACCTAGAGTCAATCGAGTGTGGGGGCACCCGTGTCCTATGGACACATTTCTAGTTTTAATATCATCATTATATAATGACAGCTCATAAATGTTTTATCCAGATTGACTTAAATAGAGCGCGGCAAAACAACCAGAGGATGCGAGTCAGACTTCAAACTACAGCTGGGTCAATTTGACTAATTTATTCTAATGTATTGGCCGGAGCCGCCGAGAGGAAGTACTGAATGTAGACACTCTAAGCTTAGTAATAGCCCTATGAGTCATAAAGTCATGAGAATATGTTGAGGGACGGCTTAGCCTCACTGTGTTTCAACATATTTTTACTGAAATGGCCGTTATTTATTTTGATGAGCATTGCCATTTCATTCATTTTATACTTCTGAATAGGTTTTTAGTTTATTCTAAAAAGTATAAAAAATCAGTTTTTAAACATTTGTTTTGTTTTGCATTGTTTGATTTCGCAACGTTTTGAGATGGTTCTACTATAAATTCAAGATCTCGCATGGTGGTCGCGGAAAACATGCCCCCCGTCCCCCTCGTTTTTCTGTTGTTTTGGTGTGTTTTACAATGGGGACAGAGACACACTACTAGTATTGGCCTCACACATGGATATTATTAATACATGTATATGGTTTTTGAAAGGTCGAAATGTTTTAAATTAGTCACTTAAACGGCATTTGAGTAAAGCACAAAATTCAATATGACGTCGGTGAGTGAGAGTGAAATAGACCCTGTTACATTGTGGGGGTTCAGCCCGGCCTTTGCAAAATATATCTACATGTGCTGGGCACCATAGTCTTCATTCTTATTTGATCACGATGGTATGATACCTGCACATAGGTACAGGTTGTTGGTCGGAAATATATATTACATTTAATGGATGGATACGAGGTCGTAATAAAAAAAGTACATGTTTGAAACTAAGATTTATTTGCAAAACGTCCAGGCATATGGTGTACACATAAATAATAAACATTATTTAAAACCACAAAAATGCATAAGGAGTTTAAAACAAGTATATGTTCAAACGTTAAGTGAAAACCATATCAAACAACCGTCCACGACCCTTATCGTTGGCTAAGGCAGTATTCAACTATAGAAAGAAACGCAGACGTGCATGCATACGGCGATTATCATGCAGTTTTCTATGTGGTCACCACTTAAGTGACATTTTATAAAAAACGGTTCCCGAGAAGATGAATGTATGAGCCCTAAACTTGGAAAAAACAATGGGTGGAACTAAATAATGGAAAAAAGAAATTTTGATAGAGATAGACCTGCAGATGACAAGAGACAAACCTCAAAAGCAAGCTATATATCTTTAGGGTGACTATATAGTTTCCATTTTGGAAAAGTGGAGCAACCAAACAAGAAAGGTATTAAATAGAATGAAATAATATGTCCATAACCATAACTATAATGTCGTGATATCAATTCAAAATACAACGATGTAAACTATATGCAATGACGAAATAGTTTCAAATAATTAAATAAGCACATTACTATGTGTTTACAAATTTATTTTTGATAAATTAGATAAAATTAAAAGAAAAAATATATATCTATTAACTAAATTAACTAAATCTTTATAGTCCCTTTTTATACAACTGATAAAATTTAATATGAATTCGCTAACTTAGCGATCTCGTTTAATATAATATACTATCACAACTTTTCCGTCCTTTCCGATACTGATTGTCAGACATCATTTTTAATAATAAATGTATGTTGGTTCTTTTCCAATGAAGTTCATAAATAAGTACATCCGATACTTATAACTTATAACCACTAGATATGTTTACATCGAAAGTCACGTGTTCATCGTTGTATCCGAGACCATATTTGGTGGATCGACGATGTTTTCTAAATGCTATGTGGGTCAATGTAAAGGTGAAAATAAACTTTAAATTTTCTAAAAAAAATCGAGCAAAAATAACATTTCATTTACTGGCAAATAACATTTATAGGTTTAAAGTTAACTGTGAATCCATAGTTAAAAAAAACAAAAGAAACAAACAAATAATCGATAAATCAAAATGAAAGAAAGAAAAAACAATTAATAAATTTGTAGATTGCTCAGTTTCCTCCTTTTGTACACTTGGATATTGAGCTATCATTTGTACTGTTACTGCATTAATTGTTTCGTTCTATATACAGCCCGATTTTAAAATTGGCTGTGTTTCATATGTAGATAATTCTACAAATATTTTCCTACATTTTTGCTTATCCTTGATGTATTTATTATTTCAAACGCCGCAAATAGTGTAAATCAACCATTAGTATGAAATTTCAATCAATGTACCTTAAAATTTTCAATATTACTTTTTATGCTGCATAACCGATATTTTTAATATACATGCAGTTGCAGAAGTTATTTTGAAGTCATCAAATTAACATGCCTAAACAATTTTTATGAAAAAAAGTAACATGTATATAACATAATCTTACGCTGCAATATACCGTCCACAAATATTATATTTCATGCTTTTTCATATATACTTTGTGACACAATGTTTAAACAATATTCTTTTCGCAGGTCAAAACTTTTATTCAGAGACACACATCTGCCTTATTTCACCAGCGGTAATTCGGTCAGATTAAGTCACAAGCTATACCGGTATGTCCATTTAAAATAAATCAATCAGTTACTTTTAAAGTATAAACGAAAATTTTGTCACTGTCCGAATGGGAGACAACAAGCCGTGGTGTTTTGTTATCGAAACACATACCCTGAAGATTTGATTTACCAGCGAGTCCTGCCAGTAGTTCTACCTGATATTTCCCGTCATGTGACATCAAAAGTAAATTGCTTGATGTAAGAGCAACACAGAACAGGTTTTTGTTTATTTTACTTTTACTAGAGGGGCCAGGAAGTTCTAAGTTATCTACATTAACTTTGTTCATGCTTCGGTTTTTATCTATATGAATGATACCTTGATATCCATCAAACACAGAGAAATCGTTTGAAGAGCTCGATAATACTATACGTCGAGGCCATTCAATTCCGCCATGGTAAGATAATTCATATCGCAATCCTCCAGAAACAGAAAATACTTTAATACAAACAGCACCTTCTGCACCTGCATTCCAACCGCCACAGCAAACATAAATCATCCCGTCATTATATTCAATACCTCGACATGTATTACTGACTTCGATCGAGTTTGTTACCGTCATAGGATCTTCCTGGGAGATAAGCAGAACTTTTCCTTTGTACAGAGTAGCGGCTAGCACTAACGAGTTTATCTCACAAATACTTACAGGACCGCTAGATAATTTCAGCGAAGAAATGACCTTTAATGACTCATTCATTTTTTTATTCTCTTGTTCTTGGTATCAGTCATAACAATACAACCGTCGTCACACATGCACATGTCAGTTATATCGCACCTCTCCTTGTCACCTGCTACCCGAATATTAAATTCACCAAAACAGTTTTCAACTTCAGTAGCTGGAAGATGTAATATGCTTCCAATAGTATTACATTTCAAATCAGTCTCACGTCGAAATGAATGAAACCGTAATGTGCCTGTTTTGCTTGACCTTTCAAAGTATTTTAAACTTCCCATTGAATTTTTATATTTCTCCTTGATAAGTTTCACCTGTACATATTTCTCTGATTCGTTTTCATGTTTAGAAACATTTATCTTCTGAAGACTTTCTTTTAGTGCAGCGATCCGCAAATCAACTTCCTTCATGTTTGACTCTAGATGTTTCAGTTTGATCTGAAACGTTGCATCCATTTCTTGAAGAAGTTCCATTTCCATCTTGTCTAGACGGTCGTTAATATTCTTCCTTTCTGATTTTATTTCTTTAATCAATTGACTTTTTTCTTTCTTTGCATTATCCAGTTCCTTCGCTTTCTTTTGTTTTAACGCCATGAAGCGGGATTCAAGTGTGTTTATTTCGTTTTCGAGGAGCTGTAGTGTCTGAGTAGTGTCAGTCTTACACGCTAAGGTTGGTATGAAAGTAATGTCTGTACAGCTTCTGTAATGATACAATCGTTTCGCCAGTTATTTATACATTTCGATTTAGGCCATAATTACTTTTTATATACTACAATGTAATGTTTACCAGTGTAAAATGATATTTATCTCCCTGATTAAAATTATATCACTCACTATATCACCTTCTGCGACCGAGATAACTTTTCCATTTTTCGTTTGTATGAGTATTACAACAGACGTTACAAACAAATCGGGTTAATTTTGTTGCAATGAGTAATGCTTCTGAGGGATAACACTTATCCATATTCTTAATTACAGTAATTAAAGTCCATGGTATTACCTTTTACGATTGATAATTTTATTGAATCACATTATTATCATTTCACTTTAATCATAAAAAAATCACCACTATGATGACTTATTTTTAAAGCGTTTTCGCACCGTTTTCAAAGCCGTTGACGGCGTGACGCCAATCAATTGCGTGTATTCCCGCGCTTTAATAAGATCATCAATTTACTGTTTCTTTAGTAAATCGGCATGTGGGTGTTTTTGTGGTTTTCGTGATTATGTAATGTCTCTCATACAACCGGAACATCTCGGCTATTATTCATAATAACCTCGGACTGAATACGGACTGAAATGAACTCTACAACGTGGTTTAAATTGTTAACATTCACAGAGGATATATTTTTCAATAATGTGTAACAAATGTATATGTTTGACATCCGAAGGAAAATGGAGTCTTTTTGTAAACTCATGATTGAAAATATGTCTTACAATCATAATCAATTTTAGAATGCCCACTGATGAAGAATTATGACCAAAGACGACATTATGTAAGCCGGTAGACATTGTGTACTTTCAACAACCATGATAATTAATAAGTATATAAATAATACACTGTTTACTTTTATATCTATGAATTTACTTAATTTAGTTGAACTTTTACTATAAGCACATTGGAATAACCTGACTCAACAACTCCCTGCATTAAAATAATATTTGTTTACATGTTTAGTGTCTTAGCGTAGGTAAGACAAAAATGCCATATTCGTTGTATGTATTCTTACCAAGGTCCATATCAGAAATTTGACGGAAACGGCCGAGAAGTTGCGATTGATTTCTCACATAGAGATATCCAGTTTTTCACACGCGCTGAGATTCAAGTCCATTTCATTTTCACTAGAAACAATTGATTTTGTTAAAGTATTACTTCTCTAAAAACATAATTGCAAAATGAAGAATAAATATATTTGTGTAATGTAATCGTGTCCTAGAAAACAAAACATGTTTCCTAAATATTTAAGTAAATTTATGTTAAAATACAATGTCATAATACAACATTGAGGATTCATGTTTGATTGTTTGTATTTGTGGATTTTCATCATATTTTTACACTTCTTTTGTCATATCGGGGCGGTTGATCCACCTAACCGGTAATTACCAATCTCTCTGCAAATGACCTACATGATTCCCGAAACAGTGAGAAAAATGACTTAATATCTGATATCATTTGTCACTAAAAACTTACGCCTCGTCCGAGGAATGCACCAGTATGCCCTGAATTACTTATTCGATGCTCTCCCTATTAAACAAAACAAGCAGCCTGTTGATTCGAATAATGTGTTTCATGATTTTAATTGATTCGTATCCTCAATCATGGATAAGTTATGACAAATAACTGAACTGGTATGTTGTTGTAGTACTCAATCAAATCTAGTAAAAATATTTAATCATTACTCCGAGTCTGTGTTATCACATACTTTTCTACTGTTTTACTGGTAAAGCTATTTAAAGTTTAATATTTACATGCATTCTTATTTATAATCTAAACAAATAAAAAAACGTTGTTTCAGTGCTTTGGCTGTAAAGATGAAAGGTATTAAGTTCGGCGAAATTATTATTCTTTCCCTCTCGCGACCCATATTCATGAGTTAATTTAGGTAAGGAAAGCTTTTTTCATCCAAAATATTTTACATAATTTTAATTTATTTATTATACATATTATGTATATGAGTGTTACGGAATTTAAAAAAAAGAATTTGTGAAGGTTTAGCATCTATTTAAAAGGAAAAACATGTTGCCAAAGTTTTATATCACAGATATTCAAGCTTGTTTATTTATGCAAAAAAACATGTTACTCACTATAGGACTATTCTTGTGGTTAAGCAATAACATATTTGTGTAGCAGTGATTTTTGTGGATAGGTAGAAGGAGGGGAAAACAAACAGAATCAGTATTTTAATCAGACTTTTTATTTAACATCGACTGTTCTTAAACTATAAAATTTACAGAGAACTGAAAAGATTTTTCAAGAGCTAAGCATGCTTTTTTTACCCCGAGAAGAATTGTACTTATGGATTCTACAACACATGATCGGTAACACAATACTAACTTTTAAACATTGTAACTGATCGTGCCCATTATTTAATTACCCAACAGGTGGAAAGAAAAAAGTGATAAATAAGAGTAACCTATAAAATGCCTGCCTCACGCAAATCCCTTTTGTTATGGTGTTTCCGATGCAAGCGTCGACCAAAAATTATTTTTTGTCATTATTTGTTAAACATTTCATTTTTTTATTTTGTTTTATTAATAGAAGAGTTCGCGCATTATCTCTTTGTTAAAACCATATAGATGTACACACAATGTTTCCTGTGGAAAATCTTCTTTTTTGTAAAGAGAGTTTTTAAAACATTATAACTACGTACATCCTTGTTTGTGATTTAGAAATGTATTTAAGGAAAAAAATACGCAAGGTATTTGCCTAGGGTGGTCATTTTATAATGTGTTACTTATAACAATGTGCGGGTGTACCAGTAGATTTTGACCCAGATGAAAATTGATCCCATGGGTCATTTTTCAACGGATTTTGATCAATTTACAACCTTGATCCCTTTCTGTTGTTAAATGACCCACAGACGTGTGAAAAAATGACACAAATATGAACAGGGTATTCTTAATCATTGATAAGTAATCAAAATAATATTTCCAAACATGCCTTTATATAGTCATAAACGTGAAACACTTACAGTGATAAATCTGTATTCCTTTCAGACCTTTTGGTGATGAGATATTTATTTAATTTTATTCAAGTGGTACAGGAGCTTATAACAATCCATCAAAACAGCTATAATTGTAGTACAATGTATTTCTGTAGTGAACGAAGGGTAATGTATATATTGCTTTCAACAGGGTCGGCTGCAAGCCTAGTATGATTTCCTCCAACTGTTATTAATGTTTAAAAGATAACACACTAATTTAAACCCATCTACGCCTATTAGAGAGGATTTACAACACCAGTGTTATCTTTAAATCTGCCGTTTTATATTTCAATCTGCTACTTCACAGGGGAAGTAACCGCTTAGAGAAGTGTAATGTATCAGCAAAGGTTACTTCCCCTGATCAGTCACTTACTGCTATGAGATAAGAAACTGTTGACTTGATACATGCTTTGATTAGGGTAAAAATGAAATACTGAGTAGGATAAGAAAACAAGTCATAAATCAAAGTGCAAAAAATTTATGTTACACGGGCTCTACTGTACACTTTACAATGCTTTATAAAATAAAATATTATAAAATATTAAGAAGAAAAACTAAAATGCTTTAAAATGTTATGAATCACTAAAAAGTGTTAGTTATATTTCTTCTTTCATTACTTATAATTAATTTCAACAGAATTTCGAAGATATTTCTATAGAAACAACTTAAGTTGGTCCTTGAACCGAAAGGAGAGTTAAATTACCTACCTGTGTTCAACGGTCATACAAGTTGAGCAGCCAACCTTATCATGACCAGGGCAGTAGACATCTATCAATTTTCCTCCATGTTTTTCACATCTTTGCCTTGGTAATTCTTGCTTTTTCCCGCTCGGTTGTTTCATCGTGTCAAGTAACTGATGTCTTCTCATTGCCGAAAACTTATTGTGATCACCCACACATTTTTGACAAAGGTTTTCATCACATTCCACACAGTGTTTGATAGCGGCTACATTCTTCCCTTCTTTAGTACACGGTAAACACGGAAAATCATGTTTTATGTCCGAACCGTGATACAAAGTTTGGATAAATTTACGCCCGTCTACGGCCATTTTAATTAAGATTTTTACCTTCCTTGTTCGATTTGCTACGTAAACACACGCATGGTCGATTTCATATACATTTACCGTACTGTACGTATTACAAGTCCATGTTATACAGGATTCTTATAATTTACTCATCTGTAAAGGAAATAAAGCACTCCGTTACGTGAAAATGTTTGTATTCATACAAGAGCAAAATATTACTAGATTTGGTATCAAAATTTGCATAAATGTATTGACCATACAATTGATTTAATTTGTATTGAAATTTGATTACTATCAGAAGTTTGGTAATGTGTAAATAGCAGAAAAGTGATTTTAATGTTTTATTTGCTCGTTACGTGATCATTAATCAGTATCTTTTGCGTTCATAGACGAAATTGTTTGAGACTACATGGATCTGACTTTACGCAATATGGACTTGAGTTTGAATTGTGTTTCATTAAAGAATTGAAGAATCCACAAGCAAAAATGCATTAGTTTTACAAAAAGGCACAATTCTGCAACTTTAGTTTTCGTCACTCAATTGTTTACACATAATTATCAAATTTCAATTAAATGTAAACAGTCGTGTAATCAATATAAATCTGCAAAGTTTGAAACCAAACATCCCAATATTTTTCTTAAATACTCGTAAGTTTACGAAATTTCCAACACGTTTTTTTGAAACTCAGTATAAGAGCAGCGTTGCGTATGAATGAATACATTCAATTATCATCATTTTCATATTAATTATTTAAGTAACTGTAAAATATTAAACATTTTAAGAGGTTACTGTCAATATAGACTCTAGGACGACTTTGGAACTCTTCATTCGTCGAGCCAACACAGTCATATGGCGAGTGTACAGCTTTACTGGTGAAGACAGACCTCAGATGCCCCTTCTTTGATTTTTTTCAGGCACGAACAGACACCTAAGTTAAACCACCGACGTTCCGTTAGCTAGCTGAATAGCATTCTCACATGAAAGAATCCACTGTCGGGATTCAAACCAACAGCGTTATGGAGCATTTACATTCGAGGTTTTTATAGGTTAAAATCGGGCATAAATAAATTATTACACTTAATTACATTTTCTACGTAAAACCTTTCTTCTTCTTCGTGTATATTGAAAAATTCACGAATCATGTTACAATTTGAAAATAAGGGTTTCTTTTATATCATGTATGATATGATGACAGCTCAAAAATGTATTTTTCATATTGATTAAAATTGAACGCGACAAAACAACCGGATGATTCGAGTCAAACTTTCAACTACAGTTGGGACAATTTGGTTCAGTTCTTCTAATTTATTGGCCGAAGCCGACGAGTAGAAGTACTGATTGTACACACTCTTAGCTTACTAATAAATAGCCCTATGAATTATAAAGTCATGAGGATATGTTGCGAGAATGCTTAGCCTTACTGTGTTTTAACATATTTTTGCTACATTGCATTTTTTACATTGCTATTATTTATTTTAATGAACATTTTTTATTAATTATATACTTCTCAAAAGTTTCTCACTTTAATCTAAAAAGTATAAAAAAGAAAATCATTTGTTTGGCATAGTTTGATTCAGTCACGTTTTGAGATGGCCCAAACATGAATGCAAGATGTTTGATCACGCAGATCTCGCAAGGTGGTCGCGAAAAAAAATGTTGCCCTCGTTTTCTGTTGTTTTTGGTGTGATTTCAATGAGAACAGGGACACACTACTAGTATTGACCTCACACAATTATTAGAAATACATGTATATGTTTTTGTAAGATCAGAATGTTTTAAGTTAGTCACTTTGACGATCTGTTTAAACGGTTTTTGAGTAAAGCTCAAAATTCATATGAAGACTATAGAGATGGTGCAGTGTCGGTGGTTGGCGCTCCGCACAAACCTTGTTGCTAAATAGAAGTACATGAATATTAAAAGGTCAGCGGTACACGAGATGTTTTACACCCTTTTTAGGCTGTATGCATCGGCAATGGACGATCGCTTCATTTTAATTGACGGCAATATGTCTTCCTAGAGAGCCGAGGCGGTCCATGAATACTTGCAGAGGAACGGTGTTAGGCGTATTGACGGGCCAGCTCATTCACTCAGCCTAAGTTCAAATTAGCACATGTGGAATGAGCTGCAGGTTAGGCATTATCTCACCAGTTGCAGCCTAGGAGCATCCAGGAACTTTGTCGTGTTGGTGTAAGAATAGGCGCCCTCCCCGATAGGAAGTCTGTCAGAATCCTTATAAAGAGCATGAGAAGGCGTTACCAAGCGATTTTCTTTATCATTGGATCACAAATACGCTTAGTGTCTAAACTTGTAAATATAAATGAGGTTGTGAAAATTTAGTTGCGTGTCTAAACATCTTGGAATTAGGGCATTCTACCTCTAGACTTCTCTGACACATGACTTATCCAAAATCAGTAAAACTGATACTTTTGTCCTTCGTTATAATTAATTAAACATGAAACTGATATTAAAACCGTTTGTTCGACGATACCTAATCAAGTTATTGATAAACATATTCACACTTAAATATTTCATGGTTAGCAGAAGTTGAGTAGTATATGTTTTATTATGATAGAATTCACTACAGTGAGTAAGAGTGAAATAGCTTCAGTTACATTTAGGGGGTTCAGCCCTGCCTCCTTCATTTCATCACGATGATATAATACCTGTACATAGGTACAGGTTTTTGGTTGGAAATATAAATTAAATTTATTGGATGAATATGTCGTAATAAAACAAAACGTTTGTAGCGTGGAACTAAGATTTATTTGCTTAACGTCCAGGCATATGGTGTACACATAAAGAATGAACATTATTTAAAAACACAAAATATGCATAATGAGTTTAAAACAAGAATATGTACAAACGTTAAATTAAAACCATGTAAATCTACCGTCCCGACCCTTAGCGTTGGCTAATGCAGAATTAAGTATTCAAATATTGAAATGATAAAGTTTTGATTTAAGAAACGCAGACGTGCATGCATACGGCGATGATCATTTCCTCTTTGAAGTGATCACCACATAAATGACATTTTATAAAAAGCAGCATATGGTTTCCGAGAAGACGAATGTATGAGCCCTAAACTAGGAGAGAAAAAACAAAGGGCGGAACTAATGGAAAAAAGGAATTTTGATAGAGATAAGCCTGCAGACGACAAGAGACAAATCTAAAACGCAAGTAATATATCTTTAGGGTGACTATATACAGTTTTCATTTAGGAAAAGTGGAACAACCAAACAAAATAGAAGGAACTAATATGACCATAGTAATAACTATAATACCGTGATATCAATTCAAAATAAATGTTAATGATGTAAACTATATATAATGATAAAATAATTTCAAACAGTTAAATAAAAACATTATTATGTGTGTACAAATTTATTTCTGATTTATTAAATGAAATTGAAGAAAAAATATATATACATTAACTAAATGTTTACAGTCCGTGGTTTTACAACTAATAGATATGAATGCGCTAACTTAGCGATCTCGTTTAAAATACTATATGGACCTATCACAACTTTTCGATCCTTTCCGATACTGATTGTCAAACATCATTTTTAAAAACAAATGTTTGTGTTTGTTTTTTCACAGAATTTCATCAATAAGTACATCCGATACTTATAACCTTAGATAATACCATTAGATATTTGGTTATCGACGAGGTGTTGTGAATGTTATGTGTATCCAAGTAAAGGTAAGTTTTCTCCAGAAGAAAATCGAGCAGAAATAACATATTATTTATTGGTAAATAATATCTACATGTTTAAATTTAACTGTGAATTTACAGGTTTTTTTTGTAAAAATAAACAAACAAATAAACACACACATAAACAAACAAACAAACAATCAATCAATCAATCAATCGAAATGAAAGAAAGACAAGAAAAACAATTAATGAGTTTGTAGATTGTTCAGTTGCCTCCTTATGTACACTAATATATATTTAGCTATCATTTGTACTGTTACAACATTGGTTTGTTCTATATACAACTCAACAACAGTCCACAAGCAGAATAACATGGGTAGCATATTGTAATGATTTTATTATGAAGTCAATTTAGCTGTGTTTCATACGTAGATAATTTTACATGCGTTTTCCTACATATTTGCTTATCTTCGATGTATTTAATTCAAAAGCCACCCATAGTGTAAATCAGTCATTAGAATGAAATTTCAAACAATGTACCTTAAAACATTCAATGTGATTTTTATGCTGCATAACTAATATTTTAAATATACATTTAGTTGCAGAAATGTTTTTGAAGTCATCAAATAAATATGCCTAAACATTTTAATGAAAACAAGTTATGTGTATACAACATAATCTTACGCTGCAATATATCGTCCATAATTTTATATTTCATGCTATTTCAATGTTAAAGTAATCTTCTTTTCACCGGTCAAAACTTTTATTCAGAGACACACATCTGACTCATTTCACAAGTGGTAATTCGATCAGATTTAATCACAAGATATACCGGTATGACCATTTAAAATAAATCAATCAGTTACTTTTAAAGTATAAACGAAAACTTTGCTACTGTCCGAATGATAGACAACAAGCCGTGATGTTTTGTTATCGAAACACATACACGAACGATTTGTTTTACCGGCGTGTTTTATCAGCATTTCTACCTGATCTTTCCCGTCATGTGACATCAAAAGTAAGTTGCACGATTTAACTGCAACACAGAACAGATTCTTGTCTATGTTGCAGATACCAGAGGGGCCAGAGATTTTCTTTCCCACATTATTTGACACGCCACTCATTTTATCTATATGAATGATTCCTTTAATCCCGTCGATCACAAAGAAACCCTTTGAAGAGCTTGTGAATGCTAAACGTCGAGGCAATTCAATTCCACCATGATAAGATAATTCATATTGAAATACTCCAGAAATGGAAAAAACTTTAATTTGACCAGGACCCTCCGATCTATCCCTATTTCCGTCACAACAAACATAAATCCTCCCGTCATTATATGCAATACCTCGGCATGCACCAAAGACGTCGAACGAGTTTGTTACTGTCATAGGATCTTCCTGTGAGGTTAGCAGAATTTTCCTTGATAAACAGATATGGCCAGCATTAAAGAGTTTATCTCACAAATACCAAAAGGATTGCCAGATAATTTCAGCGAAGAAATGACCTTGAAGGCACTGTTCATTTTCCTGATCCGCTTGTTGTTGTAATCAGTCATAACAATACAACCGCTTTTACACATACACATGTCACATATATCGCAACGATTCCTGTCATCTGCTGTCCGTACATTAAATTCACCAAAACATTTTTCGACTTCAATGGCTGGAAGATGAAGTATGCTTCCAATTGTGTTGCATTCCGAACCAGTCTCATGTCGATATGGATCAAACCGTAATCTACCTGTTTTACTTGGCCTTTCAAAGTCTTTTAAACAATCGCTTGCAGTTTTTCTTTCCTCGTTGACGCGCTTTATCTGTATATATTTCTCTGATTCGTTTTCACGTTTAGCAGCATTTATCTTCTGTAAACTTTCTTGTAGTACAGCGATCCTTGCATCAACTTCTTTCATGTTTGATTCTATACGTTTCAGTTTTATCTGAAAGATGGCATCTGCTTCTTGAAGAAGTTCGTTTTCCATCTTATCCAAACGGTCGTTGATTTTCCCTCGTTCTGATTTTATTTCTTCAATCAATTTACCCTTTTCTTCCTTAACATTTTCCAGTTCATCTTGTTTGTTTCGTTTGAAGGCATGAAAGCGGGCCTGAAGAGTGTTTATTTCAGTTTCAAGCAGCTTTAGTTTCTGAGAGGTGTCAGTCTTACACGCGATGTCTGGTATGAATATTATTCCTTTACATCCACTGCAAAAAAGTTAATAATAAAAATAATAATAATAATAATAATAATGATAATAACAACAATAATAATGATAATAATAATAAATAAAGACTTTATATAAAGAGGCAACACCGTTAGGAGTGCTCAAGTTTTCCCTATGAGCCTTTATCAAATATACAATGTACATATATACTTACTGTCTAGTAATACATGTATAAACATTTACAAACAAAGGTATGATAAACAACAAAAATACAAATAGCCAAGAAATATATAAAATGAATAGCTATAGAAAAACACATTTAATAAGAATATAAAAATTGTATGTGAGATATACATTTATCATTTTATAATACAACATGGTGTGTTTTATTTTCAACAGAGATTTGTGGCTTTTCTTATATCTAAGGGAAGAGAATTTTAATGTTGTGAGCCTGAATATGATGCAAAACACTTAAAATTATCTCATAATTATTACCCATGTCACACCAAGTATACGTATGTTTCCTTTGTTTAATGACGATGAACTTCAATTCCTTGAGTCAAATAAAAAACATATTCGGTTCTATGAATTATGCTTGTAATTGTTTGGAAAGAACTGTTTATCTTTCTTCAATTAGTCATGTTTGTATAATATTCCTTGAAAATATTTGCATCTTTACTGTTCAGTGTTGAAAAGTTAAAACAATTTAATAGAAAAAAAAAAATGTTATAAGAAACTTTAAAATTAATAATGAATGTTGACTTGAAAAATGTAAGAATACAATGTAGTCGTTAAATATTGTTTGATATAATGATAAATGTTTTTCATATTTAACAATGAATTGAATTTTTCATATACAGAATAAGTACATAATTAAATGGATAATGGTAAATGCCATATCTCTCATAACATTTGCCACAATGTGCGTATGAAATGGTTAAATTTACATGGTGGACGAGCACACCGTGTTGATCCGCCCTTAACAAATATTTTTGTAACGATTACAGACCCTAATAATAACCTTTTGGGAATAATAATTTCCTTATTTTGATTCTTTTCTAAATAGTAGCATTTATTTTGAAATATTAGTTTAACCATCTAACATTTGTAAGCCTTTTTATAGTGTCACATCCCTTCTTTACATTTTGCCCATTGTAATTACCTTGACATATTAAGAGGAACTATTTTTGCTTATGAACACGTTTTTTTTCATTTAAATTATAAACATTTTGTTTGGTTTTTTATCTATACAGTTAAAGTAACAAGTGATCAAAGTTCATCTCAAGTCTTTCAGCTCAAATAAATGCATTCAAGCGAATGAAACTTTTCATTGGGTCAAGAATGAAATCACACGTCTGATTTATCAAACGAAACCGGTGTCCAGGCGTAGAGCATCATTTTTCATTTTGGGTTAACTTCGCACAGGACAGGTCATATGACGACTCTCCAGCTTTAGTGGTAGAGAAAGACCCCATGTGCCCATATGCAAATTATTTCAAGCAAAAGCAGGCACCTGATTAAGACTAGCTGGATAGCTTCTCACAAGAAAAATCCGAAAACACTAGCGCAGCTCGAGCATACAGTGGTGAGAGACATATGTATGTTTTGAAGTCAACGTCCTTAACCACTCGGCCACGTAGGGGCAACTTATAAGACTTGAATAAAAACATCTTCAGAGACATATGGTAACTATTTGCAAAATTTTAGAACACTTTTACCGTCTAGATTTTTGGCTAAAATAACAATTTGAAATTGATGCATGTGAATTATTTGCTAGGAAAGTTTCCGTTTATCCTATACATGTTCTTTTTGAATATCCTGGCTCATTTCTTGAGAAAAATGCACAGATCACAAAAAAGACATTTGATAATTTTCAACTTATTCAATCGGAACTCGAATCTCAGAATTATATCACATCGTAAAAAGTATCTTACCCCGAACAAAGTCAGAAGCAAACCAAATGATTCTAAATCAACGTTTTTAGGTTATACAGAAATAAATTAGTTAATTGTGTATAGAGCTTAAGCTTATTGAAAAACTTTCGAATTCGCCGCAACCAACCAGTACTGAGAAAATTAACGTCAAGTTTCTCGCTCAAGGAAACAACGGTATGCCCCTGACAGGGTCTAACCCGACGCGAAAAAAGTTCTTTAGAGTATTAGTCTAGCGTGTTTACTATCCGGCCATGTCCCAACACTAGCTTTGGTGATGTAACGTTTAGTCAGTACAAAAGGTCAGAAGTAACCTTTGCAAAACCATTCCCCTAGTTTTGTCTCAATATCCCTATGTGTTTTAAAAACTCATTCGAATTAAACTTGTTTGCTAATAATTTGGATAGAAAAAAGAATGATACTCGTATTTCCTTAACGTTATATATGTCGGTCATCGAAAGTTAAGTTAAATTTCCTACCTATGTTCAACGGATATGCACGTGGAGCAGCATACGGTATCATGACCAGGACAGAAGACATCTATCAATTTTCCTCCATGTTCTTCACATCTCTGGCTGGGTAGTTCCTGCTGTCGCCCGCTCGGTTGTTTCACTGTATCTAGTAACTGATGGCCTTTCATGGATGAAAACTTATTGTGATCATCCATACAACTTTGACACAGATTTTCATCACATTCCACACAGTGCTTGATAGCGGCTTCATTCTTCCCACCTTTACTACAAGGGGAACATGGAAAATCATGTTCTATGTCCGAACCTTGATACAAAGTTTGTCTTATTTTACGCCCGTCTACTGCCATGTTTCCCAACCGTCTCTTGTCTCACATATCGTAACTTTTAACTTAAAATTGTTTGCGGTAGTATAAAATCTATTACTAAAGTTTCCTTGCTTCAAGTCAAGTGGTAAAACTACTTTAATTCTTCCTCAATCTCATTAAAATCAGATCATCGTTTTTGCTCCGTTACTCTTCGCTAAGAGCGTAGGGTAGTGAAGCGACAGTTAGGATATGATTTTAATGAGATTGATTCTTCCTGTGACCGACCGACAAGATTATCGGAAATTAGCAAAGTGTTCCGAATAAATAAATGTGGTAATTTAAGAGCATCATTTAATGACTGGATGATTTATATTACTTTATGTTTATTGTCTTTTCACGACAATACGAAATTTAGTGAATTTAGCTTGTTTTCGGTTATAGACTGTTACAGATTAACATATGCAATCTCAATTCCACTCAGTTCGACAAAGTTAGGATGTACTTACAAACATAAGCACTTACGCACGCATGTTCGTACGCATGCACGCATGCAAATATAATAAGATGTTCGAAATTATATACCAATATATTATATTGTAGACAATTAATATTACCACGCTCTTTGCTTTTATCGTTATTACCTTATTTAGCTAACATATTTTAACAAAATTATAACATTTATATAAAGTTTTATCGGAATACATTATTCATGTATTTACACGGAGGTACTTCGCTAACTCACAGCCTCCAAAAGGTTTTGAGCTCTGTGTAAGTAGGTCGAAATTCAATTTCTAGCTAACTTTGAACTATGGTCAGACGCTAATTAAGGTTGTTTTTTTTAAGTTAACAATATTTGGAACATGTTTTGAATTTCGAGTTAGTTCTGAGTTTAGTAAGATTGATCTAGTAAGACTGATATTAAAAATTCACTACATTGGCGAATTTTACGCCAGCGTCGAATTAGGAGCCAGTTCTCTTTCACTCTTTCAGAAAGCAGTGTCAATAAAATTATCCTAAGATAAGAAATACGGTTATGTCACTTGTTCGTGCGTGTGTCCGTGCGTCCTTGCAACAAGTTAATGGAATCTTTTCACTACTATTGGACGTAATAGTTTCAAACTTTCGGGGATAGCTATTATAACCGAAGCCTAGCTTCAGTCTGCAGGAGGATACTCAGGTGCCTGCTTTTGCTTGAAATAATTTGCATATGGGCACATGGGGTCTTTCTCTACCACTAAAGCTGGAGAGTCGTCATATGACCTGTCCTGTGCGAAGTTAACCCAAAATGAAAAATGATGCTCTACGCCTGGACACCGGTTTCAGTTGATAAATCAGACGTGTGATTTCATTCTTGACCCAATGAAAAGTTTCATTCGCTTGAATGCATTTATTTGAGCTGAAAGACTTGAGATGAACCTTGATCACTTGTTACTTTAACTGTATAGATAAAAAACCAAACAAAATGTTTATAATTTAAATGAAAAAAAACGTGTTCATAAGCAAAAATAGTTCCTCTTAATATGTCAAGGTAATTACAATGGGCAAAATGTAAAGAAGGGATGTGACACTATAAAAAGGCTTACAAATGTTAGATGGTTAAACTAATATTTCAAAATAAATGCTACTATTTAGAAAAGAATCAAAATAAGGAAATTATTATTCCCAAAAGGTTATTATTAGGGTCTGTAATCGTTACAAAAATATTTGTTAAGGGCGGATCAACACGGTGTGCTCGTCCACCATGTAAATTTAACCATTTCATACGCACATTGTGGCAAATGTTATGAGAGATATGGCATTTACCATTATCCATTTAATTATGTACTTATTCTGTATATGAAAAATTCAATTCATTGTTAAATATGAAAAAACATTTATCATTATATCAAACAATATTTAACGACTACATTGTATTCTTACATTTTTCAAGTCAACATTCATTATTAATTTTAAAGTTTCTTATAACATTTTTTTTTCTATTAAATTGTTTTAACTATTCAACACTGAACAGTAAAGATGCAAATATTTTCAAGGAATATTATACAAACATGACTAATTGAAGAAAGATAAACAGTTCTTTCCAAACAATTACAAGCATAATTCATAGAACCGAATATGTTTTTTATTTGACTCAAGGAATTGAAGTTCATCGTCATTAAACAAAGGAAACATACGTATACTTGGTGTGACATGGGTAATAATTATGAGATAATTTTAAGTGTTTTGCATCATATTCAGGCTCACAACATTAAAATTCTCTTCCCTTAGATATAAGAAAAGCCACAAATCTCTGTTGAAAATAAAACACACCATGTTGTATTATAAAATGATAAATGTATATCTCACATACAATTTTTATATTCTTATTAAATGTGTTTTTCTATAGCTATTCATTTTATATATTTCTTGGCTATTTGTATTTTTGTTGTTTATCATACCTTTGTTTGTAAATGTTTATACATGTATTACTAGACAGTAAGTATATATGTACATTGTATATTTGATAAAGGCTCATAGGGAAAACTTGAGCACTCCTAACGGTGTTGCCTCTTTATATAAAGTCTTTATTTATTATTATTATTATTATTATTATTATTATTATTATTATTATTATTATTATTAACTTTTTTGCAGTGGATGTAAAGGAATAATATTCATACCATACATCGTGTGTAAGACTGACACCTCTCAGAAACTAAAGCTGCTTGAAACTGAAATAAACACTCTTCAGGCCCGCTTTCATGCCTTCAAACGAAACAAACAAGATGAACTGGAAAATGTTAAGGAAGAAAAGGGTA